CCTAACCCTAACCCTAACCCTAACCCTAACCCTAACCCTAACCCTTACCTTAAATTGAATCGGCTTTCTTTCAATGCACTATTTAAAGCGCCCTTCTTTCTCTGTGCTGGCTGTTGTCGCCGCATTGATGACGTCAGTGACGCGATTCAGTCGGGCGCGGTTTTGTCGTTCGCCCTTTTGACGGGTCACGCATATTTATATACCTATACATATTTTCCTAACTGAAAATCTAGATGATCATCCTGTGTTTGAATTTTAAAAGAAAGGTTTATTCCACGTGAAGGGGCCAGTTCCCATACCTCTACAAAAAGGTATGACCAACATCAAAACCTCACTGGTCCTACCTTGGTCTTTTCTTTGCTGGTCAGACCTTGGTACTTTTCAGTACTTCATTGTCATTGCTTCATTCACTTCATATGGGAAGATCAATTCTCTGGGATACTACAACCTGTGACTTTGAACTCTTCATAGTGATACTGTTCCACATGCTGCATACATGGAAGTCTTCCTGAGCAAGCCTCTTTGACCTGAGTTGAGAGAATTCAACTCTCTTAACTCCATCTTTCATACATGTCCATTCATAGACACAGTGACGATTATGGCATTATGTACTAATTAGAAATATACTGTGTATATATGCATATATGCATGTGTGTATGTGTGCACACACACATGCTAAGGTGGACAGAATGGTGTTATTTTCCCACTGAAGTGATACCTATTTATCTACTTGCATTTGCATGCTTTTGAACTACTAGGTAGGCAGAAGCTGGGGCAAGTAACGAGAGCTCACCCCATCACGTGATACTTATGTCTTGAACATCCAACCTTCTAGTCAAAAAGCTCAGCATCTTAACTGTGAGGTCACTGTGCCCCCAATTAAAATATATTGTTATTATACTGATACCAGGTTTATTAATAAATGTTGACATTCTAATATGAATACACCTTTTTCGGAGCAGGAATGATTACGTCATGTGTCAAAACACCAAGTTAACTGAAGCCAATGGGGTGATAAATGTGCTTTCAGCCTTATTATTGTTTGTAGTAAATTAGCTCAAATCCTGAAGAAAACTGGAAAATGGAGAAAATGATGTAGTAGCGGGGGGCATTTAGTTTATTGTTAATTGTCCATGCTAGTTGAAGAGTTGGATGATGGTTTGTGAAATGGCTTATTCTAATTAAAAGCTAAATGTTACACTTCAGGTAGTTCAAGATATTTTGCTAAAATATAATGGAAATTATTAAGTAAGCAAAGTTTCATTAATACAAAAAGAATGCAGATTTCTTCACTATTACTTTCAATGCAAAATATGATCTAAGTAATTGTAGGAAATTACAAAACATATTTTGGGAGGACATGGAAAGCTGCAACCTTTCTACCATCTCATTAATGTTTTTACATTCCTTTGTGATTTATATAGATTATCCAATAATTTACTCTTAAAAGAACTTTAGAGACTCTGATCTTTTATCCTTTCCTGCAGGCCGTTTTGCAAAATCATCTGGCCAAATGTCCCTTGATGTTTTCTTGGAGCTCTCTGACATTTTGAGCTTTGGCCAATCCCAGTTTGAAGAACATCCAAGTAGACTCCAGCTCTCAAGACTCAGACCAGACACTGGTATAGAAAAGAGAAATGGTGAGAATGCTATAGCAAGTTTGAAAGTATTGGAGGGTCTTCTTAAAACAGACCATGTTGCCATGGAAAATGGGTAGCCAGATGCCAGTTTATGGGCTTCCCATATAGAGAAAAGAATACAGATCTAGATAACTCTCTAGTCTGATCCAGCAAGTTTCTTCTCATTTTATTAAGTTCCAGAATTAGGTGCTCCCAGAATACAATAATTATAAGTTCTAAGGAGAGCACTTATCATGATAGGATTTGTATTATGAGTACTGTTGATATCTCAATGTGTTTTCCTGAGAAACACTGAAGTATCAGCAGTATTTCAAACAATTGTACTGTACAATAGTAAGTGATCTGTATGAAAGAAATACCGGTATATTAAGAAAGGTTTTGTCAAATAGAATGAATTAGGATCAAATACCAAAATAAATCCATGAAGGAAGTTAATGAGATTAAAGAAAGGAGAAGTTCAAGAAAGTCATAGTTGGACAGAGTTGATGAAATCCTCCAAAAGAGAGAGGTGAAAAGTTTAAAGAACAAAAGACAATGTATGAATTGGACTTAATAGAATAAAGGATTGGAAGTAGAGAAAGGTAGGGAGAGAGATTTAGTGAATTGTATTGGAGTAAATTAGTTTTAGCTTCGTTTTTCTAATCCCTTGCCTTTAGTTTGTTTGTCTTACTATTTTTTTATTGCTATGGTGTTCATTGCAGTCTTATCCTTACAGCATAAAGGACATTATATGTATACATGTTTCCAAATACATAAGCATAGCTTTGTGGGAGAGCTGGTGTATTGCTTGACAACAAAACTCCCAAAGTCTATAAAGTCATTTTCAATTATATAGAATTCAGGGTTAACTTTTACCTCTTTGTAAAGAACTGGAATCTCTTTTTCCTTTTCATAGATCAAATGTTTGATCTTGGTTCTAATATGTGTCTGTATTGTAGGAAGTAGTTGGACAAATGCTGGTGAAAAACTGATATCTCCAGATCATCAGAGCAAAACTGAATCTAATGAAGAGATCATTGAGTTTCATAACAATAGGTGAGTCTGATTGCTAAGGATGTCACGATAAGATACTTATATTTTCTTATCTCGTGATTGCTGCTTAAAATGTAATATATGTGAATGTGGCCATGTTAAATAGTTTTACAACTCATCTTTCTTAACACTGCTAAATGATTTTAAGAGTATTGATTTTGCTATGTAACATAAATAACAGGCTGCTGCCTTTTGGTTTATGTTTATATTTGGCTTATATTTATCTGACTTCACTAACATGCTCTCACCATCTATGTAATTGGTGACTTTAATGGGAGACAATGTTCAGCTTTTTTCAGTATAAATACACAAATACAATCTGAAAAAGCATCAATTTTCTGTTTTGTAGAAAATTACTTCTGCCTGCCTGCCTGCCTGCCTGCCTGCCTATATCTATCTATCTATCTATCTATCTATCTATCTATCTATCTATCTATCTATCTATCTATCTATCTATC